GAAGTTGTGATGATAAGAAGTTGTGATGATATTTTCACTTCGATCTTAATTACTTTCAATCTGGCCAATTAATTTGTTAAAATATGTTGAGTTTTACAACTAAAGTGGAGATTACATCCAAGATTCAGGGAGGTCAAAAATCTTGGAAGTTGGGTGCAAATAAATAGGGAATTAAAATTATCGGGCGTAGAATTGGAGATTTTAGAGTGACAGACTAAAATTCCCAATTCGATCCTATCGTTTAGGTGCTGAAGTGTAGATGTTAGCCCTTCAGACGAGGGGAAAGTGGAAACGCCAAAGTGAGAGCCGGTATCCTCCCAGCCTAACCACAGATTCAGCAAACAAGCGTAGGATTAGTCAATGTTATTTATGTCTGGACCAAAGGGTAAAGAATAGGTATGCTCATATTTGGCACAACACAATTTGAACTGATTCACTTTATCCATTCACTATAATTTCTTGACAATGAGAAGAATGTTTTCTTATATATTGAACATCACATTAAAAACTTTATTAGTATAATTAGTTATTTAAGAGTTATTAAAATTACATATTTATTTCAATTGTCTATTAGTGACAGATAAGCAATTTGAATTCCATTGTTGCGATTAAGTATTGTTTTTCTAAAATCTCAGTTCGTAGTTTTAATATTACTCTCTGTGGGATCGATATCTAGGACTCCATTAGAGCCTTATATTACTTGAGCGATACGTATACTTGCGTTGATAAGTGTGACTTTACCATTATTAAATATTTTATATATACATCTTTATCGAATCTATAACTTATTAAGTTTTTGGTTTCGTTGCTGAGGAATTAAATATTTTAGCAGCAGTATTAAATACGTGTATTTTTAAGCATATATAAAGTCGCTGTCAGTAAGCTAAGATTTCAATGTAAGAAAATAATAAGTTAAAATGGATTCAACACAATAAGTCTCTCTCCCACTCTAAAATTAAAGAACTGGTATAAAGAAAGTTCAACCTTCCTTCAAATCTTGTTAGAACAAAGTTTGACTTCGAACCTTGTTTTGATTGAACTAATTTGAATTTGGGTTCAAATCAAACTTGAATTAGGTTCGAATTTGTACATGTTCGACCCCCTTTCAGGACTGTGACCTCAAAAAACAATACGCAAATATAAAATGTTATACCAAGATGGGGTAATTTGATTCAAAATAAGCTTTCAAATATATTTTCATAAAAAATAAACAACCAGTATATTTATCCAATTTCTTCTACTACGAGGCAGATAAGGTAAATTTCCCAATAATGAAAGTAAATTTCTAGTTAATATATTTTATTTATATTTATTTTTACGAAATCAACCTAAATCCTAGATATGAGGCACATGCCTCTTAAATATTGAGTCAAGGCACACATTATATACTGTGAGGCAAATGCCTCACATGAAAGGCCATGAGACGTACATATCAGGGCATATATTCTTCAGAGGTGTTGAGTCTCTCATATTATACAATTTTAAATCATGTATATAACATAAGAAAATGAACAATATCAAGAACAGAGAAACAAATAAAATCTACATTCCATGCAATTTGCACCACATATAAATGTCCAGGAATTCCAAGAAGTATCATTCGTCAAAAAGCTCATTAAAAAAAGCATTCATGTGGTGACTATACATTCTATCTTTTAATGTGGTCAGAAGCATATTCTGTGAGAAAAGGCACTTGTTTGATTTCCCAAATACACTTCTGCACATACCTTTCAGTGAACAAAAAAAGAAACAAAAGCAGAAGCATGAATAATGATCGCATCATACCAAAAGTAAATACATAACAAATTAATTAGAAACAATAGAAGGAACATGGCATCATATTGCATCAAGTTCAGAACATCAAGCGAGGGAATAATAAGAACAATGCACATTAGAGACCACAAGAGGATACCTGTATGAAATTATGGTCCCATTATCTTCAGCAAAAGGACAGGAAAAGACAGAATTATCAAAACTATCCATGAAAAACAACCTATTTGAGCTTCTACATGACATTCGTGGTGGGCTGCAAGAAGATTTCAAGCCAGAGAGGTACCCTGTAAATTCCTCCCCAGTCGATACAATCTAGAACAAAAGAATTAAAACCGCAAAGCCCTTCAGACATAAACTCAAAAACAGATATAAACAACAATCTAGAATAGAAAGTGCTAGTTATTGTTGGCTTAGAGACACAACGACAGGGGGTGAATTGGTTGTGCAATGATAATTTAAACATTTTTGAGATTCTTCCAATTCAAAATCCTCACAAACAAACACACAAGCATATTGAAGAATCTAACCAAAACGTATATATACTAAAAATACTAGAGTACAGATGTAAAAGATAAAATCAACAAGATCAGGCTAACAAATACTTGGAGAGTTCAAGTACTAAACACAAAAAAAATGATTACAAAAGTAATATCTAGCCACATGCTTGAAATCAAATGAATCAATCCTAGAAATGTGACATCACACAATTAAACTATAATGCAAATTAAATGATAAAAGCAGTGGACGAATGTTTGAACTATTGAACAGTACATTTTAGATCCATTTAATTAAACAAACTGTAGCAATTAGTACATTAAACAACAAAGTTGCAATTTTAAACACAACAAATTTAATCAATTCTGCACAACATTGATTACTTCAATATTCTCACCCCCAAACTTACCCACGAGCGTGAACATGCATCCTTGGTGTGCCTTTAAGCCAACCCCACACCCCACCTGCTCTAAGTGTGTCTTTATGCCAACACTTATATCATAACAAACCAACTTATTCTTTTCTATACTAAGTTGTAAGATGATTGATACCTTTGATAGTGCCATTTCAGTCTGAAACATCATGAGCCTCAATGATTCTTTGTTTAAGGGCAGTTTATTTCCCGGTGAATATGTTTTAGAAGCACATAATGTGTTCTCTTGAGTTCCAAGGGTATCTAGTTGAGAAGCCCTAGCCTGCCTCTTGGTCTTAATATAAGGAGATGGAGACAGACCTTGATTTTGACCTGCATCACTTCCCTCCTGCCTAGGCAATTGGATACTAACCCGAGCACTCTCTGAGTGCAAAAAAACTCTGTTTAGATGAGTTGGACAAGATTGGGATGATGATGATGGTGAAAATGATGGAGAGGGCCTACAATCCTCAAAATTACTTGCATGGCCAGAAAATGAAACGTGGGAGATAGAGCATGGCGATGCAGAATTTTCAAGCAAAGGATGACCAGAGGGTACACGGGGACTTAAATTATGATGCAGAGCTAGGAAATCATATGTAGGAGATGGAGTAGGAGAATAGAAATATGTTTCTACATGATCATTACAAAATGAAGCGTATGAAGTTGCTGATCCAACAGTATGAAGAGATGATAACCTCATAAAAGGACTGACAAGTGGGCTCCCCACATAATCCATTTTAAATTCTATAGAATGGGATGATGATGATGGTGAAAATGATGGAGAGGGCCTACAATCCTCAAAATTTCTTGCATGGCAAGAAAATGAAACGTGGTTGATGGAGCATGGCGATGCAGAATTTTCAGACAAAAGATGACCAGAGGAGATACAGGGACTTACATTATGATGCAGAGCTTGAAAATCATATGTAGGTGATGGAGTAGGAGAATAGGAAGGTGTTTCTCCATGATCATTGCTCCAACTATGCCGTCGACAAGATGAAGCGTATGAAGTTGTTGATCCAACGGTAGAAAGAGATGATAACCTCATAAAAGGACTGACAAGTGGGCTCGCCACATAATCCATTATAAATTCTATAGATATGGGAGTGGAAGGCCCCGAGCTCACAACCTCGAGCGTCTTTAAATATGCAACAGAAACGGACAATTTTCCAATAAAAATGTCGAGTAACCCAAAATCATGTTGGCTCATCTCAGCATCTTCCTCTCGACTGAATGGCTCAGCAATCGAAGAGATTCTATGAGAAAGGATAAGGGAGTGCATCTGCCTCGGGGCCTGGAGATCCCTGAAGAGCTTGTAGGCGGGTAGAAGCCTAACCATTGTATACAGGGATCTAAGCAAAACAATGATCCTTCTGTAAGCCTTCTGGTACATGATCTCCATTCCGGGCTGTTTTATTCTTTGACGCTCGTATTGCACAATCCACCTCTCCACAATCTTTTCACTTTTACTTCGACGTCCATATTCACCTCGTCCTGTAGAAAGATTCCGTACAAACACCCCGCCAAGATAAGCACAACTCTCATCCCGATCTGTTTTCCCACTATCCAACACAATGTCAAGAACCAATGGCTCAAGGTAGTTCTGCATCCACATATCAATGTTATCAAGGGCAGCAGGGCAACCTTTTAGGGCTAAGTTGAACCATTCATCTCGTGGTCCTATATTCAATGGAGGTGAAGAGGAACGAGATGAGAAGAAAGTTTCAGCATTGTCGTGTTGGGCAGAAACGTCTGGGGACCTCGATTGAAGAATGACGTTGACAAATTTGGCAAAAAATTCGGCAATAAATTTCTCCATTATGCCTGGCTCTGATGTGGAGTTGGAAGGCTATGATGCCATATGAGATTCAGAACTTGAAACAAGCTCTAAAAGCTCGGTATCAATTCTGAAATTTCAACCAAAACATCCTTGAAAACCCTAGAAAGACACTAGAGACGAAGAATTTGGTTAACCAATGCTTGCCGACCAATTTCCTGGAGTTCTAATAAAGATGAACCATTACTAATTTAGGGCAGCGCAAATGCCGGACAAGAAAGGCTCATGACAGAATTTGGAAACTGCGAATTCAAAACCATTCACTGCAGGGAGAAAGGAAAGGCAACGAGGCGACGCCTTGTTATTTTTGAAACCATGGACTGTAGCAAACAGGCTCGATCTATACAAGACCAAACCGGTTCCGAGCCATGAACGGGCTCTCTCTTTCGCGCTCACTTGTGATCCAGGAAAAACGAACAGAGGCATCGCTCACGCGCCTTTTATCCTCTACCAGCCAACAAGAAACCACATCTTAGACTACTTCGATTCGGAGCCCCTTTCTTTCAAATTTCAACTTGGATCTTTCAAATTTCAACTTGGATTTTCTATTTTCAGTTCTACAAAAATTTTTATCCTTTCTTATATTCTTTTCTTTCAATTATTTTCTTTGCACGTTCTTTAAGAAAAAATTACAAACATACCATACATGTACATACTAGAAATACAAGCAAGAATCTCAAAGAGAACAAATGACCAAGATGATAGGGTCTCTTTTCGAGGTAAGCAATTAACCGACTATTTAAGGTTGAGCATGAAGCAACGTCTCCAAACCCGGGATAAGTTCAAGCTCCGGAGACAGTTCCCCGCTTGGTAGCGGTAAGATCCACTGAAAGTAAGGCGTGAATCATCTCGAGCCGAATGGATACCTTGCATGGGCACCGACAAGATCGATAAAAGACCATGCAATATTGGGAGATGCAGTCAAGGTGACAAACCAACCAGATAGGTGAGACTAGAGCCATGTAAGACTCGAGCCGAATGAAAAATGAACCACGACACTATGAAAAAAGTCGTTTGATCACATTCAACTGAATAATCCTGCGCCTGGACCAAACGATCATCTCACAACCGACCGCTGTGCTCGATCGTGCCAAAAGACACCGAGCAAGATCGTCATACGGTTGAACACCTCAACCCACCAACGCGTACTCTAGAGGGCACAAATGTTACTAAGTCGGTTTACTTCAAGTCAGTCGACCAATCAATTACCGCCAATGTTGAAAATCAAATTGTAATACAAATATGCATAAAATATATACAATCAATTAGAGCCTTAATAGCATTAAGAGTAGTTTCCATAACTGTTCCCTCATTTCTATAATTGTACAGAACATGTCTCTATAAGTATCAAACAAAAATACGAATAAGGAGACATTTCCCTCGATTCTCCCTACAAAGAACCAAGATTTATTTTAATGTATATTCCTTCTCTCCTTCACTCGCTATAACTCTTAGAGCGTGATTCACGAAGAACAAACTAGAATCCAACATCCTCAAAGGTGGTGCGTGAGCGTGAATAGCATGCCCCAGACATGAAGCGGAGCTAACTATGATGGAGAAAATTCCTAAAGAGAGATAGTGTGCATGAAACCTAATAAGGAGGCTACCCTATCAGACCCTACGGGCAAATAGTGAGCAATTCCAGAGGTCGCAAGCCAATATGACTCTCATGATGGAGCAATTCGAGATCCTTCACACAACAATCACCTAGAGGAACGACCAGATGCCTTATTTGAAGGCACAACCTTAGAGGGTCCATCCTCAAAGGCCCCCACTGGTAAACTTACCTGTCCTCGACAACCAATTTAGGAAGTAGCAGACAGAGGGACAAGGTGAGTCCCAGCACATTGACACCGGCGCATCCGCACAGACAAACAGACGATAAGAAGAACAAATGCAGATACTTGTCCGACCATACATGAGAGTAGCATTCACTCGGCAAAAAAAAAAGAAGCGGTACCCCTGCCCAAGTTGAGGGTCCCTCTTTTAGATCCCTACAAGGGGAGGACTGACCCAATCGACCCTGTAGCATTTTTCGAGTCATCGGTCAGTCTACTTCAGTTTGACGACCCCATATTATGTCGTCTCTTCTTAACTACTCTTAAGAAATTAGCCCTCCAGTGGTTCAACAGTCTGTCAGCCAAAACCATACTGCATTACTATGAGTTCAAAATGCTCTTTATTTTGCACTTCTTAAACGTGCAGAAGCCAAGGAAGAACTCAGACACCCTGATCGACATCTGATAAGGAAAAAACGAGAGCCTTTGGAGCTACATCTTCCGTTTTTAGAACGATATGTTGGAAGTGATAAAACTGAAGTTTGAAATAGTTGGAACATCATGAAGTGAGTGGTTTAAAGTAAGTTGTTCAGGTATTAATTCAACTTGTTTGAACCTATCACTTTTGCAGAAGTGTTAGAAATGGTGAACGAGCACATACTTCTCTGAGGAGGACCTTAGGGCTCTCCGGAGGATAAGCTAGAATCATTCGAGCACCCAAAAAAATGGAAGGATAAGGGTAAATCTCGAAGGGCGAGGGATAGGCAGTCCTTTGACGGTCACTAAAATAGTAACCCTTGGTCCCAGAATTAATGGGGAAATAATTGGGGGCACCGTGACCCGAAGAGACACTCTGACTAGCAGTCAACCCGATATTATGAGTGACCGCATAAATGCATGGCTTGACACCCCTCAATTTGACAATGGTTGAAATAGTCCATGCCATTAAAAACTATTTCAAACTGACGCTTCCGCTGAAGACGGCCCCAACTTCACAGGACCCGAAGAGGTATTGCCAGTATCACAACGACCATGGTCATGACATAGAGGAGTGACGCCACCTCCATAATCTGATCAAAAAGTTCATCTGAGCCAAGAAGCTCAAAGTTTTCATAGAGGTTGACAAAAATACATAGCGGCAAGGCAAAGCTCCGATAAGAGAATCCTCAAATGGATATGTCTCAGCAAATAAAGTCCATGTGGCAGGAATAATGTCACCCCCCTTCGGAAGGGGGGTGTGTTACCCGAACCTCCGAACTTAAAAGATAATGTTCCGCGAGGTATGTTTTATCATCCCATATACGCGTAATCATTTACCCATTTTCTTTTTATATGCATATTTATCGCCAAAGGGGAATCCTTACAATAAGGCAATCGTCGTCACAACATTAATCAACAACTACCATGTGGGTAGTATCCTTGTTGATACTAGAACTTTAGTTAACATCCTATTTAAGATGGTGTTGTCGACACTATTTTTGGTGTGGGGTTTGC